GACGAGGATTTGCCTCAGAACTACTCACTTTGAGACCAAGAAGAAGAAATATGCCACGCGGAGAATCCCACTTTCAATGTCATGATGATGGTTTATGCGCGTATGCATGGAAAGATGCACAATTAATATTTTTACTTAGCACAGCACACTCGGCAGATTTATCTGAAGGAACTGTAACACGTAATATGCACAATAGAGGAAACCGCGGAGATGTGCCTGCCCCCCCAAGCATTTTGCGATTACAACAAGTATATGGGGGGAGTTGATCATGCTGACCAGCTAAAATCATATTACTGTGTACTGTAGATAGAAAATCACGACGCTGGCACATGAGACTCTTCTGGCATATCTTTGATACAACTATCTATCACTTACTTACATCATCCACAAAGAATGGCAGGTAAGCAACCAAATCAAACCTGATCGCCTTTTCGGCTTCCGCTATAAGCTTGCAGATAAACTTATTGGACATTTTAGCTCACGTCAGCGACTAGGACGACCACCTATCGTGCCACCAAACCCTGTAGTCAAACACAAACTTGTTGATCTGAGAGCAACATTTCCCAAAAAGCGACGCTGTCATGTGTGCTACAAGAATGGAGTCAGACATGAGACATTTTTTGGATGCGCACAGTGTAACAACATTCCACTGTGCCGTCCAAACAAGCATCGGGATTGTTTCAATGCTTATCATGATTGAACATTCACAACAATATATTTTTGAAAAATTGGAGACTAAAATGTTTTAAGTTTTTCTAGGGGAGATTATAGGTTAGAAGGCTTGTGAGTTGATAGCTGTTGTTTACAATGGTAAAACAGCCCAATCTTTTCTTTTCTGGAATCAAAGAACATCAATGTATTTTCGAGTATGTTTTGATTATATGATTGCAATTATATTTTACAGAAATTATTTGATTTGCCTTTTGTCAGTTCTTGCCTTGCTGTTTTTAATTTTTTTTTAAATTTTTAGTTTATTTTTATTTGAATATTTCGTTTCGGCGTTCACATCATTTTACATATTTCTTCTAATTTTCCAGACCGTTTACTCAAGTAGGTCAATTGAGGTCATGTTTTGAAGATGAGTTATTGGTGCTTATGGAGAGAAGTAGATGAATGCAATATTGTTGAATACTTGTATCTACTGACAGTGAAAAAAAACCAGAGCCTTGCAGGCGTCAACGTTCCTATGCATGATACACGACTTTAAGAAGATTATATACGTATAGATATATATATAAAATATATATACATATATATATATACATGTACGTATATATATATATTTATATATATGTATACATATATATATTTATATATATATACATACATATATATACATATATGTTTGTGTGTGTATATATACTTATATATAAGTATATAAGAATATAAGTGCATATATACGAAGTATATATATAGGCCTATATAAGTATATATGTATGTGTATATATGTATATATATATGTATGTATATATATATATATTACGTATATATAAGTATGTATATGTATATATATGTGTATATATATATAAGTTTGTATATATATGTATATATATAATATATAAGTATGTATATATGTTATAATGCATATATGTATGTATATATATATATAAATATATATATGTATACATATATATAAATATATATATATACGTACATGTATATATATATATGTATATATATTTTATATATATATCTATACGTATATAATCTTCTTAAAGTCGTGTATCATGCATAGGAACGTTGACGCCCGCAGGGCTCTGGTCATGGATTGTTTAAGCCAGTGACTACTATAATGCTAATGCAAATTTTTTCAGTTGTTTTCTTAAGGTTCACAAAGTATAGGACTGTATACGTATAGCTGTAAAGCCTATAGATTATGGACCTCTAAAGAGAGGTAGGACTGTTAATCCAGTAATATATACTGTAGTCTAACAATATTTCAAAGGTTCCCTACCTATTCCATCTCATCACTATTAAACATGATAATTACAATATCATCTTTTGACTATCTGGATGTTTTTTTAAATTTTATACTTCACTAAAAAAATATAAAATCTACTTATTTGATTTAACAGGAAATGTTTTTTTTTTATTTGAATTGCCCTGGTTAGAATGTGATTGGAATACAGAATTAAACTGGTTCAACCAGATTGTTCGGGTGTGAAATAGGTAATTGGTTAGAACATGTGTTATGGGCTAGAGTCAACTGTGTTAACCAGATCATAATCTTATATGGATGAGTTTAAACTGGTTTCAAGTTGATAGAAATTTTGTTATGAAGCATTGTTTAAGAAAGCCGCATTTTTAATGGAGATTTTGTGCTGGAGCATGCAGGTACAGTACATAACTGATTCTCTAAGTAATTAAAATCCCTGTTCAGGTTTTGGGTTATTACTGAGTCATGTATAGATTATTATTATGTAATATAGAAATGTACATATGGATGTTGAGTATGGTGACAAAGTAATATTATTTCTAATTAGAATTGCATAATGTATGATAAGAAATTTATGGATATTCTTAAAGTTGGGTTAGATTGTCATTATATTTGAAACAAAATTCTTGTTTACTAACACATGTAATGACGCTTGCATGGTGCTTTATATTTACTTTTTATTTGTGTAAATTTGTGTTTGCATTTTGGAGAATATTAATTTGATTTTAAATGCTGAAGAAGACGACAAATTTAATATTAAGTTAACATAATGGATATGTTGTATAGTATGCCATAAAATGGTGTCAATGAATGGGAATGAGATTATGAAAAGTTCTGAAAGTTGTTTAGATTTCTTCTGATTGTTTTACAACAAAACTCTGAAATCAAAACCAGTCAAAATAAATATAATCAGGTTAGATGTTAAACATTAGTAGGAATTTTTCTGAAGTATTTTTAGAACTTTTGAAATTATAAGCATCGTAGAACTTAAGTTGAAACAAGTATCTTCGTTTTTTTATTGTATTATGTGACCATCCATTTTTTACTGTAGCTATTTTTCTTGATGTAGGATTAACAAATGTGTACAGAGAAAATCAATGAATATTTATTGTTATGATTTTGTTATGATTACAGTTATAATTATTGCAAATGTATTAAATGCTATCCGTGGATGCGAGTGTGACTACTGTTAAGTTATTGTGACAGTTTATAGTCAGCCTGATTCTGGGTGCTAACGTTCATCATCAGCACATTAGTCAGAGATTCCAGATAGTAATAAGGAATGTTATTGTGCTATGTATAAGCAGCAGTTACTTTCACTAACACAACACAGATTGTACATACACATTACAGGAAGTGAATTGGGCAGTAAACCAGGAAACAATGCCATACTCCCAAAATAGTGTACTGGGTTCTTTTTTTTTTGTCCAGTCAAACCAAGGAGGTATTATAGTGTTTAACAGCTTAACATATCCCATCCATAGAAATAGGTAATTACATCAAATAACAGTATTAGCAGGTCCAAGTGCTTCAAACCTGGTCTCTAACCTCTGACACTATGTATCCTCACCGCTAACACAATGTCCAACTCATTTGGACACCTGAAAGAGATCCCAAGAAAGGCAGGCCTAAAAGTTTGTAAGGAGTGAACATCATGTTGGTGGACAAACTGAAGATAGTGACTACATCAGCCTTGTGTTATCACCAGGCACAAAGAGAATATGCAAGTAAAACACTACAAGCATTCAGAATAACATCCTGATTAATATTCTTGTAAGGTTCATTCTCAACCTTCAATAAATAAAAATACAAAATTCAATGATCCATTCTCAACCATCAATGTACAATCCCATGGCCAATTCTCACACCTTCAATGTTTTGTCTGTAACATAACAAGTTCATACACTAGAGACTAATTATTTTATTTTTCTCACAGAAGAACATTTATTCTCAATTGCTACAATTGTACATGAAGAAATACAACATCAGGTGAGTTTCACTCCTGCTATGTTATACTGTGTAACATCTCAA